CCGAAAGCCTCCACCGTGAAGTCCTCGCAGGTGGGAAGGGCGCCACAAAACGGGCGACGCCTAGACCACGCCGACCCGAAGACGTCCATGGCCAGGAGTCCATAAGCCCAACAGAGCCAACAAAACGAATCGGCGACGACTGGCCAACCCACGAAGAGGAATGAACCGAGACAGCTGTCCACCAGGACGCAGGACACACCCCGGACACGAACCACACGGTTAACCAAACCCCCTGTGGTTCCGGCAAGAACCACCAGAGAACAGTCCAAACAGAGCTGAATGGTAGAGTACCTAGTGACCCAAACCCTCCGAAGCGCAAACCAGACAGCCATGAACACCTGAACCGGGCTGTGAGCCCGACGGACAGACAGACTCCATCAACCTCGGCCGACCTGGTGAGCACTGGTCACAAAGCCCCAGCCGAGAGACGACCCGTCCGTGAACACATCGAGCGAAGGCTCGGGGAGCCGCCAAGGCACGGAACCCCGAAAACCCCAAAGAGGAAGCTGGTGACGCAGCACCAACACCAGATCCCCAGAGGAACCCAAGGAATGCAAGAGGCGGAAGTGGAGTCTCCGTAGGAACCAACCGACGCCGGAGCCAAACCCGACTCCGCGGGCAGACAAGCACGCCAAAGTGCAAACTCCCGCACAACCGCCCAAGCAACCGCTGAGCAACCCGGGACCCCCTCCTGAACAGCCAAAGGCGGGACCACAGCCACAGTAACACTTCTGGAGGGAAGACAATGAGGGGCCCAAGAGCCTGAAACAAGGCCCAGGTCCGAACCCGGGACGGAAACAGAAGGTAAAACCTCCAGATCACCAGGAAACCAAACCCAGCGATCTGGAAAGAACCATCCCCTGGCGAGCAGACAAGCGGACTGACTGGGAGCCCACTCCAGCCAGTCGTCGAGGTAGGCCAGACACCGAATCTCAGACGCAGACAGGGCACTAAGATCCGGTAAAGATGCAAAGAGTATACAAAGTGCCCTTCACAAAATAGGGAATGCAATAAAAACAGCAAACCTGAAGCCCCACCACCAAAGCATTGTATGACAATCATAAGAAGACATATTATGACACATGACAATCATTATATGACAATATGACAATTATAATCAAAGCATTATATGACAAAGAGTGCTGGGAAGACGGGACACCACGAGAGTAGCTCTCATCCTGTAACTACACTTAGGTAAGTACACATAGGTAATTACCAACCGTGCTAGCCCCAGAAAAACTGGAGAGGAACGTGCCAAGAAGTGACCTGGAGGTCCAGGTCCACCATCCATGCACCCGGCCCTAACAGAATCCGAACAGGAGACAACAGTCCTCCGAGCAGGGCAGAGGATCCAGGGCGCAGACGGAAGTAGTCCAGAAGAACTGCAGACTGGAAAAGCTCATGACTGCAAAGAGCAGACGGGAAAAGCTCATGACTGCAAAGAGCAGACGGGAAGCCCAGAAGGATGGGGCGGATCGACCACGCCCCACGCACCCACGAAGAGGAAATGACGAAGCGCAGGGAAGAAGCCCACCCCGCCAGCTCTGAACCCCCCCCAAGGGGGAGAAGCCGTCCTCCTACGCCAGCAGAGGCCGGAAGACAACCCAAAGCGCCCACCAACAGCGGGACCAAGCGAGAGGCAACAGAGCAAGCTGCTCCCCCAGCGCCCAGTCAACAGAGAAGGGAACAGAACCCCTTCAGAAAGAAAAAGTACACTACCGAAGTCATGAGGAGAGACTACGGGAATGAAACCACACTTCGCTGGAAGAGGAAGTGAGGGGAGACCTGATCACCACATACAAGATACCCAAGGGAATCGACAGGGTTGAGAAGGACAGGATATGTAACACAAGGGGCACACGCACTAGGGGACACAGGTGGAAACTGAGTACCCAAAAGAGCCACATATATAATTTTTTTTTTTTTTTTTTTTTTTTTTTTTTTTTTTGAGTGTCGGAATGGGAACGGGAAAGCACTAAGAAGTAATGTGGCGACTCCTCACACAAGTAACGAGGCTGACCCCCATACAATGTCACATGTAGACATGACAGAGCCCAAGAGGCACAGGAACCGATACACCTGTTGACGGACGGTTGAGAGGCAGGACCAAGGAGCCAGAGCTCAACCCCCACAAGCACAACTAGGTGAGGACATATATTGTAAAAGCACAAGCCGCCGACTAGTGGCAAAGAGCACTACGCCGGCCAGGCAAAGAAGGCACAAAACTGCATCAAAAGGCCCACCTCGACAGCAAAACCACAAAGTCCCAGCACAACCACAACATGTGCCAAGACCCAAAAAGCTCAGTCTGCAAGCCAGGAAGACCCCGGAACCCCAAAAGGCAGAACCGGGTCACACGAGGAAACAAAGTCCCCTGAACCCACAAAAGGGGGCCCAAGAGGAAGAAACCTCCAGAACGAAACCAAGGAACCCAAAGGAACCCAGAATCGAACCAGGGGGAGCCCAAACCACCACATTTGCCGGCGGAGAACACCACTAAAAGGCAAAGCACAGACCCCAGCAGAACGCCCTGGGAAAACGGTCCCAACAGACCGAAAACCGAGGGGCAAGGTGTGGGAGCAAGCATACCAGCCAGGGGCACTGAGCCTAAACCCAGAGGCTCAGACCCAAAATCAACACCCAAACGTTCCCAGAGGAACAGGCAACGGCAAGAAAACACCAGAAAACAAAGAAACGACAACAGGAGAACAAAAACCCTGCAAATTTTTTGAAAACTCACCAGAGACGCTCGCTCGCACACCCAGACGCATGTAAACAAACCGCAACGCCGCCCTGGTGGCCACGCCGGGAAACCGGCAGACGAAAATGGCCGCCAGCAGGGGCTGTGACTGACGCTTAATACACAAAAACACGCCAGCAAATGTGGGAAGCTAGCAGACTGGAAGGGCGAAAAACGACGCCCAACAGCAGAAAAACCCCTGAAGGGGCAAAACCGCCCCAGAACTGCTAGTAGGCATCCCCCACAGCCCCGGGAACCAACAACAGAGGCCCCGGGGCAGAGCCGGCCTCCAAGCCCTCCGCCCTGAAAGAAAAGCAAGAGCCCATGGGAAAGGCAACAAGAAAGGGCCGCTGGTAAGACCCAGAAGCCTTGGCAGGAGGCACAGGCTCAAACCTCCGTCCCCAACCCGAACGGGGCATCCCCCGAAAACCGCCCGAGTCTCTGCCGCAACTGAACCCCGCCCCGACCCAGAAACACGCAGACGGTCCGGAGCCGGGAACATGGAGAGAAAGGGGCGAGCAGCACCTAACCAAACGGGGCGGCCACGGGGCATTCGAGTGGGAAACCAACCTAGCATGTTGCAGCAACCTAACCTAGCTTGCAACACGGATGCCGCCTGTACTCTGAACAGTAATAACATCAGGAGAGTACTGGAGAACAAGCAGAGAATCACTCGCAAGACTCCGGGTCAAGGTGTCAGTGACCCAACAGGCAGCATGACGGAGGTAAAAATGGCGACTGTCACCCGGAGACAAGGGAACAGCAACCAACGATCCCGTACAAGACGGGTTGGAACCCGGAAGACACATTCAATGGTCCCCCGAGCCCAGACAGGGGTTTCCAGGGCCCGTAGGGTAACAACTACGGGAAGCCCGGGCAAGGTGTTGCTAACCGGTTAAGAAACCCAAACATAACAAGAGGGTAGATTATAGCACTGAAAACCCCCGAGACGTGTACAAGCACGGGGGCCTAGCAGAGGGCCGCCAAACACTACCAGTGGAACTATAACCACCTTAGGCAGACCCCCACCAGGCAAGAATATGAAAAACAAAAGAAAAACCCCGCAAAAGTACACCGTCTCCAGAGGCAACAGAAACCGGCCGCCGCTTAGGTGGCAGGCTGCGCAACACCTTGACGCCCTAACCAGCACAATACCAATCCCTACCCAGGGCCAAACAAGGGCCCCAAGCCCCAGCTGGCCCCAAGGGCGAGGCAAATGCCGAGCAGCAAGAACCTCTACGGGAATGGTTCCCGAACGCCCCAGGGAAGATAACCCTGTAACGCAAGGGCAGTACTCACAGGGCGCTTAGGGAAGTCAGCCACTAAGCACATGCAGCCCCGGCACTGATGAAGTACTCCTGGCCACCGCACACCACAACACACGGCAGTGAACGCCACACAAGGCAAACACCGCCTAGGAAACTGAGGCCAGAGAAGCGTCAATCCCGGTTGACATTAGCGAACGAACTGAAGCTTGGCAGCCGGCGCGGTAGGTCCGGGGCTCCCCCCTCCCCCTCCCGGGGTGGGGAGGGCTGCGCGGACGATCGGCGCGGCAGTAAAGTGTGATGTTTGCTTGTTTGCTTGTTTCCTTGGGATTGTAGGGAGTTTTCTACCTCTCTGTTCGGTTTTTGTTGTAGTTTCTTACCATGTGGGGTTTGTTTTGTTACGCCTACCTTTCTGGGTGCCTAACCCCGGTCGATGGCAGATAAGGAAAACCCCCAACCATATGGGGTTTTCCAGGGCCATTGCTCCCTGAAACCTCTCTGAAGGGGCCAGGTTCTGGCGCTGGTCCCTGGTAGGTCTGAACTCCTTAGCTAATGTCCCGGTCTAACATAACACACATTAGCCCGATAAGCTCCAGGGAGCCGTAGGGGCTCCCCACAGAAAAGAACTTTTTCAGTGTTAGAGTAGTTAACAGATGGAATGCATTAGGTAGTGAGGTGGTGGAGGAGGACTTCAAACACAGTTTCAAATGTAGTAATGATAGAGCCCAGTAGGCTCAGGAATCTATACACCAATTGAGTGACAGTTAAGCGGCAGGAGCAAAGAGCCAAAGCTCAACCCCAGCAAGCACAACTAGGTGATTGCATATACATGAACCATAGAAATAGAATTATACTTCCAAATAGAAATATAATTCAATAAATTGTTTACCCAGTCTACATGCAAAAATTAATGTGAGCCATACTGAAGACTGGTGCTGAAGTCAGAAGGTGGAATATCAACCTGCAACCTCCATACTTGTCCCCTGCCATCTTACCTTCTGTTTATCTATGGGCTTAGGAGGTTGGGGCTTTGCTGCTTCTGGGCTTGACAGTATGGTCTCATCTTGGGCTGCTTGAAGAAGGGAACCTTCAAAATCCTCATCCAGTACAGATTTCTGACGCTTTTGTTGACGTTTCTTAGCTTCTTTCTAAAGAAAAATGAAGACAAATGTCATAAACCCAACATTAAATATAATGAAACATCTTTTTCCTGAAGAGCCCTGGTGGCTCCCTGAAGCTCTCTCTCTCTCTCTCTCTCTGAGATTGTTCCATCCAATGGACCACATTAGTCACTGGAGTTCTGTTTGGCCTACCAGGCACCAGAGCCAGAACCAGGCACACACCCCTGTCCCCACCCCAATCCTCACTAAGGCACAGGAAGTAAGTAACATTCCACCACCCCACTGGGAAAAGCATCCAGAAAGTCAGTGAAGATTTACAGACAACTGGAGTATTCACAGAAAATAAACTCCAGAAACCACCAAATAACTCTGCAAATGACTCAAACAAAACAAGAGATTTACTCAAAACTAGTAAATGCCAACCTGTTAATGCCAATAGCTGCCATCTGGGGGCCCCGCACAAGCCCACAGCTGGCTTCCTGGGGACTTCCCGAGCTGATGAAAACCTCACGGACAAACCATTGAACTGGCAAGAAGGGTGAAAATCAGAGAGCCACCAGGGCACTACCAGAAAGAGGCGTTTCATTACATTCAGCGCTGGGTTTCTGAGGAAGACCCCAGTAGCCCTCTGAAGTTAACTAATCACAGGAATTTTAAAATGGGACTTAAAACGAGAGGTGAAAAGGTGGCAGATACTAAGACATAGGAGAGAAACCAGGCTGAAAGAGACAGCCCAAAGCCATTTCTGATTGGAGCCAGAAATGTTAACCAAATACAGTAACTGGCTACCAAAACCTACCAAAACCTAGCCCTACCAAAACCCCCAGCCCAAATATCAGTCCAGGACATTTTGTTAAAGATCAACAGACTTAACCCCCGACCTGTGCCACTGTTTATACTTTGCAACACCCAGGTGCGCATAAAATAAACAAAATAAAGAATTAGTTTTTTGTTGTTGCTGTTAAGAACGTATTCCCTGACCACGAGAATATAATAATATAACTCTATGCAACTTACTTTGGCCATGATGGAGCATGGAAGTCTCGCGATGTCACGATTCATGTGCATTCATCGAATAATCATCCCAGGGTAGGTGGCTGATGGTAGATTAAGGTGGTGGGTGACTGATGGTAGACTATGGTGGTGGGTGGCTGATGGTAGACTAAGGTGGTGGGTGGCTGATGGTAGACTAAGGTGGTGGCTGATGGTAGACTAAGGTGGTGGGTGACTGATGGTGGACTAAGGTGGTGGGTGGCTGATGGTAGACTAAGGTGGTGGGTGGCTGATGGTAGACTAAGGTGGAACACCACCTTAGTCTACCATCAGCCACCATCATCTACTAACTTAGTCTTAGTTAGCAGTACCTTGCCTGGGAAAGCCCAGGCAAGGTACTGCTAATCGGCGCCCCAAATTACCGAACAAAGCGCTAAAAGCCAACAGTTCAGCTTTCTGTAGCAATTTTGTTTAACCAAATAGGGTTTGTTTTGAGGCACCTACCTTTCTAGGTGCCTGACTCGGTTGATGGTAGATATAGAATGCTTCCAACCACACGAGGGTTTCTATAGGCAACTGCTCCTCATGCCTGTCTGAGTGGGGGCCACGTTCTGGCTCGTAGTCCCCAGTAAGCCTAGAACTCCATTTGCCTTGACTGATGCCAGGGTCTAATACATTCATATCAGCCCGGTTAGCTCTGGGGCACTGAAGGGGTTCATCCCAGAAAAAAAATAAATAAAAAAAAATTAAATAAGTAAATAAATAAATAAATAGTCAAGCAATGCAGGCTGCCTTCAAGACCACCAGCTGGTAGGAAGCCGAGAATCTAAACCGAACGGTATTAATCCCGTACCAACTTTCTAGATGTAGCTAGAGGGGTGGGGAATATTTCTGGGAGGGTCCGGTGTGGAGAAAGGGAGTGGGGTAGTATGTAGCGGGGATGAGGAGGAGGGGTGGGGTGTAAGATGTAGCGGGAATTGGGGAGTTGAGGGGATGTGGTGTGACCACAACCAGCCTGTGATAGTCCGCCAGCCCACCCACAGAACCCACCCACCCAGAAGCCCCAACCCACCCATCCAACCCACCCAACCACCCAGCCTACCCACCCACCCCAACCATCCAGAGAACCATCCAAAACCAAAGCCATTAACTTACCTACTCAGCCAGTCTGCCTGCCAGTCAGCCACCAATCTATTCACACTGCCTGCCCACTCACCAAGCCAGTCTGCCCACCCAGCCAGTCTGCCTACTCATGCCCAGTTCCTCCCACCCACCTGCTAACCCTGCCTGCCTGCTCGCCTGTTAGCCAACTACCCATCCCACCTGCCCATCACCCACCCTGCCTGGCCACCTGCTCATCACCCACCATTAGCCACCAATCTATCCACCCCGCCCGGCAGACAGCCTGCCAGGCAGCAACCAATCCATCCACACACCCTGCCCACCCACTAGCCATCCAGTCCACCAGCCCACCCCCCCTCCCACTCCCACCTGCCTGTCTGTCAGCCAGCCATTGACCTATTCATCCACCCATCCTGCCAGCCCACTTGCCTACTCACCGACCTACCAGCCAAGTAACCAGCCAGCCAGCCAGACAGCCAGCCCACCCACCATCCATCCTGTTGCTCTCTCAAATATGACTAAACAGTAACCGACATTTTAAACCTTCTGCATTTAGCGGAGCCCCGGATTTAACGAGTTGGGTACAGCCCTATATAGGGCATTATATTGAGTGGATACTGCTTATTACTGTACTTTCCTGCTTTATTTGATTTATCAATGTAAGGTTCTTCACAATAAATATATTGAATCTCTTTGACACATAATGCATCGTGTAGCCAAGTTACATGACGCATTCAGCTCCACAGAGGGTAAGGGACCGATGCGATGACCCCCTTGGCTCAAGCAACGAATCACTGGGGAGCAGTTGGAGTGGAGTCAGAGCCCGACAGAAGTCAAATCCTCTGAAGGACATGCCACACAGCCACAAATTCACACATCGTTCTGAGCTCCTGAAGGAAAGGCCCACATCACCTGGTGAGTGCTGGTAACAAAGCCCCAACCCAGAGCCTAGGCATTCATAAACAATCAAGTGACAGGGAGAGGATGGTGACTAGGAACTAAACCCTGAAAAGCCTGAGGAGGAGGCTGGCAAAGTAGAAGATGATGAAGGAGGGAGGGTTCACAAACCAGTCAGTTCTGGGAGTGGTGGAACAGGTGGAATCAGAGAAACTGGTACAATGTCTAGGGTCAAAAGCCTGCCTGGTTTATAAACCATGCAGGCAGAGCTCAGGGTCCTGCAAAACCGCTCAACCGACAAATGAGTCATCAAACACCTGACTATGACGAAGCTGCAGTTGGAGCAAATCTGCTGAAGGTAAAGACAGAACTACTAAGTCCTAAACAAGGCCTAGCCAGGTCCACACCTGGGACAGTACCAACTGGGACTTCCACCAGTTAACCAGGAATCAGAAACCAGTGAGTTGGAAATGACCCAGTTCCCTGGCCAGCTGACATGCAGACAGAACGTGAGCTCAAGTCTGCCAGTCATTGTGGGAGGACAACACAAGAACTCCAAAGAGATGTAGCTGGACTACAATGACCCATGCTAATCTGGTAAGATGTAGCTGGACTACAATGACCCATGCTAATCTGGTAAGATGTAGCTGGACTACAATGACCCATGCTAATCTGGTAAGATGTAGCTGGACTACAATGACCCATGCTAATCTGGTAAGATGTAGCTGGACTACAATGACCCATGCTAATCTGGTAAGATGTAGCTGGACTACAATGACCCATGCTAATCTGGTAAAACATATCAAGCCAGATTCAAGCTGAATAGCAGAACCCTGAAGCAGTAAGCCACAACTAAACAAAACCTGATTCCTGGATGAAACAGAAGGTGCCAATAAAAGGCCTTGAAGCCCAGGAATAATATTTAAGCATGTGCCTAGAATACGAAGAGAACCTGAGCTAAACTGATTATGTGGATGGACAGAATGGGAATGAAGCTGTTCAATCTTGATAGATCAAGGATGTACCATAGGTCCAACAATTCCCACTTTGGAACACGGAAAACCAGGATACCCACCAAAGGAATGAAGGGGTCATCTCGACCTCACCAAGTCCGGCCAACCAACAATTACCCAACTCAGACCTGGGAAGGAATCCCGATTCAGAAGCTCCAACCCCGAAAGAGGGGGAGGGACCGACCAATCCCACTGCAGGAAAGGGAGACGACCAGAAAAGCCCACAAATCGTTGGACCAGGAGCCAGCAATACAACCCAGATCACCCCCTCTCACAGCAGAGTCAAGGGGTAGAACCAAGAAAGTGCCAGCAGGAACCACAAGTAAAACTATCCACAAATGAAGCTTAGTTGAGACGTCGAGCAAAAGAGGAACTCTCATGAGGACGTGCAACAGCTCAGGAATCTGACTCTCTCGACGACCTATCTTGACCAAAATCAAGCAAGGCCTCAACCCAACCAGACCGTCTCCTAGGAGTGGGGGAAGAACCCTGAATAAACGACAACTGATCAATAACATGACAGGAGAAGGCCACAGCCAACAAAACATGGGAGACTACATCCTCAGAAAAAAGGAGCAGTGAGAATAGGGAGGGGGACAAAATGGTAAGTGACCAAACTAAATCTAAGGACCGAGCCAACACAGCCTGTCAACTTGCAAAGCGAACCAAGTTATTTCAGTTCTCTATGTTCTCCAGCCAGGTCTTCTAATCTTACCTGTAACATGCTTACTTAAAATTAAAGCAGGTAATCGATTTAAAACATGACTCTCAATTTATAAAAACAACCTCAGGTGTTTTAGTGCCGTTCATAGCATTGCTCTATAATAAATTACCGAGTAATACTAGAGCAACATGATTAAGCTCTAGGGAGTTACTGAGAAGGCTGGCCCTAGAAAATTCTCATTTGCTTTTCAAGACAACTTCTCTCACATCTGGGTAGTTCTATCAATATTCCTAACAACTCACAAGAAAGCTATTTATCTAAATGGGTCACCTTACCTCACTTTTAGTCTATAGTCACTGAAATGGCATTGCAAAGTAACATATTCAGTTTTATGCTGCTGTTTCTCTGGTTCATATTCTCATTTCCAACACACACAGAGATCACATTAACGTGATGCATCAAATGAACAAATCCACAAGGGCAGTGACAAAGGATTCGAACCGGCGTCTGGGAGCATCCCAGACACTGCCTTAATCGACTGAGCTACGACAGGGTAAAAGGGTTGAAACCGAAGTTCTACTGAACTTACTGGATCCCGTAGCCTCTCCGAGGCACAAACCAGGCTTTTACACAACTTCCCCCCCCCCTGCACCCGAGCTATGTCAATAGGCCGTTCTCCCTCTTCGCCCTTACATCATCACACACAGAGATCACACTAACGTGATGCATCAAATGAACAAATCCACAAGGGCAGTGACGAGGATTCGAACCTGCGTCTGGGAGCATCCCAGACGCAGGTTCATTTGATGCATCTGAGATCCACTAGAGCGTACCAAGAATCAGGAGGAGAATCTGCCTCTCTCTCTATGAGGGAAGTGTCTCTGATCTGAAGGATCAGAGAACCCTCACTGCTGGGTGGGTAAATACCCTAGCTGTGATGTGTCCGGCCACCACCAGATAGCAGCCCAGATCATCCAAGGTCCACACCACCTCATTTACTTCCCCGGTGTTAGCCAGCATCACACCTCTCTGCTGGCTGCATATTCAGTTTTGCTCTTTCAGAAAAGTGGTGATAATTTAGGACGCTCGCATAAGTGTGAGGGATTAACCATTACCTTCTGAAGCTCGCACAAATGTGAGAGTCTGACTATTATGTACCTTAGCAGTCTTAAATTTAATAATCTACTTGATGTCTGTAGTGACAATCAGAATTAATTTTTATATATTCTATCAATAGTAAATAGCCCTACCATCTTACCCCATTCTGGGAGCTCCCCATTAAGGGGTGGCCACATCAATCAATTCTCCAGGAGGCTGAAGAATTGATTGATGTGACCATTCACAACCCAAATCTGCCACTCTTTCGCTCTATAACCCCCCCATCTCTACCTCCACACTTTCTTTCATGTTCAGTTCTACTCTTCGAAGAAACTAGTCACATGATTCTACCATATAACCCCTTTAATCACCCTTGTACACCCTTGTACCTACCATCTCAGTGTACAGCACTTTTACTCTACATTTTGTTCCTTTGACCCCACCACTCATACTACATTCCTCTGGTGACATTTATCTCGGAGAGCTAGCCAGTCTTATATTGTAATCCTGTGCTTAAACTCATTTTCTTACCTTTTTTTTATGGGTTGCTTTCCATTCAGTCATCTCTTTCTCATACTTCTTCATCTTCTTTTCATAATCTTCTTCGTATTCTTCAAGCAATTCTTTGAACTCTTCTTCTAACTCCTCTTTTCTTCTTTCTTCTTCATCTTCCTTGTTGACATTTTCCTTTCTGATGATCAATTTCAGAGACGTACTGCAATACTTATTGCTTCGTCTCACATGCTTAATGTTTTTCCATATTTTAAGAATGTTCGCTAGTAAGATTCTGTCTCGTTCAGCTTCGGTATTGAACTCTTCACGACAATCCCGAATCTCTTGGCGGTAAATTTCTAATCTGCGCACAGAGTCTATTTCTTCATTGACTGATTTATACTGCCTCCTAGAATTTGGTTTAATCTGGCGAAGTTTTGCTAAAGATTGCCGGAGTACCTTTAAAAAATAAGTAGAATAACAATTGTTAATAAAACATAAAATGAGCATTACAAAACTATTTGTGAGGGTGGCCTCACTCAGCGACTGCCAAGAGCCTATACACTGATACTCCCATTGAAAATACCATCTCATCAGGCATCAAGGATTTTATCATGGCCTAAGTTCAAGTTCAAGTATGTTTATTGAGATAAGCAATAAATCCTAAGAGAAGATAAGAGAAGACCAGGACGGCTCAGGCGGTACATGAGCAGGCCGGAAGTGAAACAATGCACGAGACACCTTACAAAACCATGCAGAAGTAACATCAATGCCGAATGCAAGCTACAGCGGTTCCTCCAGTGCCGCACGATACGAGGCGACAGTATCTGGCATAATATGACGTCATAATATGACGGTCCTGAATATCTCAAAGGGATAGAGTAGCTTAGGCTATTTCTACCCCCGCCTACCAGTGGCACAGAACAAAATACTTCCCATTCACAAAGGTGGACAAGCTGAGGGCTCCCATTCACAAAGGTGGACAAGCTGAGGGTTCCCATTCACAACGGTGGACAAGCTGAGGGTTCCCATTCACAAAGGTGGACAAGCTGAGGGTTCCCATTCACAAAGGTGGACAAGCTGAGGGTTCCCATTCACAAAGGTGGACAAGCTGAGGGTTCCCATTCACAACGGTGGACAAGCTGAGGGTTCCCATTCACAAAGGTGGACAAGCTGAGGGTTCCCATTCACAACGGTGGACAAGCTGAGGGTTCCCATACACAAAGGTGGACAAGCTGAGGGTTCCCATTCACAACGGTGGACAAGCTGAGGGTTCCCATACACAAAGGTGGACAAGCTGAGGGTTCCCATTCACAACGGTGGACAAGCTGAGGGTTCCCATTCACAAAGGTGGACAAGCTGAGGGTTCCCATACACAAAGGTGGACAAGCTGAGGGTTCCCATTCACAAAGGTGGACAAGCTGAGGGTTCCCATTCACAAAGGTGGACAAGCTGAGGGTTCCCATACACAAAGGTGGACAAGCTGAGGGTTCCCATTCACAAAGGTGGACAAGCTGAGGGTTCCCATTCACAAAGGTGGACAAGCTGAGGGTTCCCATTCACAAAGGTGGACAAGCTGAGGGTTCCCATACACAAAGGTGGACAAGCTGAGGGTTCCCATTCACAAAGGTGGACAAGCTGAGGGCTCCCATTCACAAAGGTGGACAAGCTGAGGGTTCCCATTCACAACGGTGGACAAGCTGAGGGTTCCCATTCACAACGGTGGACAAGCTGAGGGTTCCCATTCACAAAGGTGGACAAGCTGAGGGTTCCCATTCACAAAGGTGGACAAGCTGAGGGTTCCCATTCACAACGGTGGACAAGCTGAGGGTTCCCATTCACAAAGGTGGACAAGCTGAGGGTTCCCATACACAAAGGTGGACAAGCTGAGGGTTCCCATTCACAACGGTGGACAAGCTGAGGGTTCCCATTCACAACGGTGGACAAGCTGAGGGTTCCCATTCACAAAGGTGGACAAGCTGAGGGTTCCCATACACAAAGGTGGACAAGCTGAGGGTTCCCATTCACAACGGTGGACAAGCTGAGGGTTCCCATTCACAAAGGTGGACAAGCTGAGGGTTCCCATACACAAAGGTGGACAAGCTGAGGGTTCCCATTCACAAAGGTGGACAAGCTGAGGGTTCCCATTCACAAAGGTGGACAAGCTGAGGGTTCGCATTCACAAAGGTGGACAAGCTGAGGGTTCCCATTCACAACGGTGGACAAGCTGAGGGTTCCCATTCACAAAGGTGGACAAGCTGAGGGTTCCCATTCACAAAGGTGGACAAGCTGAGGGTTCCCATTCACAAAGGTGGACAAGCTGAGGGTTCCCATACACAAAGGTGGACAAGCTGAGGGTTCCCATTCACAAAGGTGGACAAGCTGAGGGTTCCCATTCACAAAGGTGGACAAGCTGAGGGTTCGCATTCACAAAGGTGGACAAGCTGAGGGTTCCCATTCACAACGGTGGACAAGCTGAGGGTTCCCATTCACAAAGGTGGACAAGCTGAGGGTTCCCATTCACAAAGGTGGACAAGCTGAGGGTTCCCATTCACAACGGTGGACAAGCTGAGGGTTCCCATTCACAAAGGTGGACAAGCTGAGGGTTCCCATTCACAACGGTGGACAAGCTGAGGGTTCCCATACACAAAGGTGGACAAGCTGAGGGTTCCCATTCACAAAGGTGGACAAGCTGAGGGTTCCCATTCACAAAGGTGGACAAGCTGAGGGTTCGCATACACAAAGGTGGACAAGCTGAGGGTTCCCATTCACAAAGGTGGACAAGCTGAGGGTTCCCATACACAAAGGTGGACAAGCTGAGGGTTCCCATTCACAAAGGTGGACAAGCTGAGGGTTCCCATTCACAAAGGTGGACAAGCTGAGGGTTCCCATTCACAAAGGTGGACAAGCTGAGGGTTCCCATTCACAAAGGTGGACAAGCTGAGGGTTCCCATACACAAAGGTGGACAAGCTGAGGGTTCCCATTCACAAAGGTGGACAAGCTGAGGGTTCCCATACACAAAGGTGGACAAGCTGAGGGTTCCCATTCACAAAGGTGGACAAGCTGAGGGTTCCCATACACAAAGGTGGACAAGCTGAGGGTTCCCATACACAAAGGTGGACAAGCTGAGGGTTCCCATACACAAAGGTGGACAAGCTGAGGGTTCCCATACACAAAGGTGGACAAGCTGAGGGTTCCCATACACAAAGGTGGACAAGCTGAGGGTTCCCATACACAAAGGTGGACAAGCTGAGGGTTCCCATTCACAAAGGTGGACAAGCTGAGGGTTCCCATTCACAAAGGTGGACAAGCTGAGGGTTCCCATACACAACGGTGGACAAGCTGAGGGTTCCCATTCACAAAGGTGGACAAGCTGAGGGTTCCCATACACAAAGGTGGACAAGCTGAGGGTTCCCATTCACAAAGGTGGACAAGCTGAGGGTTCCCATACACAAAGGTGGACAAGCTGAGGGTTCCCATTCACAAAGGTGGACAAGCTGAGGGTTCCCATTCACAAAGGTGGACAAGCTGAGGGTTCCCATACACAAAGGTGGACAAGCTGAGGGTTCCCATACACACATAAGGTAAACCTAACCAAAAAAACAAAGCATTAAATTTAATGAAATTCCATTTTCTGGGCAAGACGTGGAGGCTCCCCAAAGCTAACCGGGCTAATATGAAAGTACAGTATTAGACCCTGGCATCAGTCAATGCGCATGGAGTTCTAGGCCTACCGAGGACCACAAACCAGAACCTGGCCCCCCCTCAGAAAGGCACGAGGGGAAATGGCCAATGGAAACCCTGTGTGGTTGGAAGCATTCCATGTCTGCCATCGACCAGGTCAGGCATCCATAAAGGTAAGCACCCCAAAACAAATCCCTATTCTTATTAAAATAGTGTTACTGAAAACCGAACTAGTGGACGGAACTCCCCAAATGAAAACGAGCATGAAGTCACAACATGTCACACTCACACTCACACCATGTTGCGCTGTCTGCGCAACCCCCATCTCCCCAGGAGATGGAAGCGGAGCCCCAAACCACCACGTCGGCTATCCACCCCGCAGTTCTGAGGCTGGATGTCAAAAACCGCCAACCGGAGGTTATCTTGAGATGATTTCGGGGCTAAGCATCCCCGCGACCCGGTCCTCGACCAGGCCTACTTTTTGTTACACACCCCCAGGAAGCAGCCCGTATCAGCTGTCTAACTCCCAGATACCCATTTACTGCTAGGTAACAGGGGCATCAGGGTGAAAGAAACATTTTGCCTATTTGTCTCCGCCTCCACCAGGCATCGAACCCAGAACCTCAGGACTACGAATCCGAAGTGCTGTCCACCCAGCTGTCAGGCGCCTAGGGAGGGAGGAGGGTTGGGAGGGTTGCCGGGGAGCCTCTGGGTCTGACCCAGAACATGGCATTTCATTACATTCAAAGCTGGTTTCTTTGGGGGAGCCCCCTTCACCTAACCGGAGCTACTTCCCAAAGACAAAAACAAAAGGGACTTATCCGAGAAGAGGTTGGCACTCGCCCCTCAACGCAGAGTCGTGAGAACTGACTGCAACCACCGACCCAATGCAACACAGGCCCGACCAGGCCCCGGAACCGAGACAAGGTAGCGAGAAGCCAGGACACTGTTCGACCTCCAACAACCCTGTGGCCGAATGTCTACCCCAAGACATGTTACCGATGACGGCAGCCAGCGCAGCAAACTTACAAACGTCGTGGGCACAAGGATAGACCGCAGGCTGGCTGGATCAAATAACCCTGCGGATGACCAGTGAGACCCAAACTCTGGAACAGGGAAGAAGGAAAACCGGGTCAACCCTGAGCACATCCCCGGTCACAAAGGCCATGGTGTGAAAAACCGGAGGAGAGCCGCAACTAGACACAACACATGATGCACCCACAGCCTGACCAACCAAGCATCAACAACCCGGACCCCTCCAGAAAGCAGCAGTCTCATTCATCCCCAGAAAAGAAGGAGACAGCTTTACACACAAAAATCACACTAACGTGATACATCTAATGAGCTACAACCCTGTCGTAGCTCAGTCGATTAAGGCAGTGTCTGGGGATGCTCCCGGACGCAGGTTCGAATCCTCGTCATGGCCCTTGTGGATTTGTTCAAGAGACGGCTGCAACCAAACAAACCTATCACCAGGACCAAAAGAGCAGAAACACCTGCGCTGGAGGAGGGAATGAAGCTACCCGACCCAACCCCCAGAGGCCAATGCCAACAGGAAGAAACAATCTTAAACCAAAGGGGCCACTACAAACCGAGGGGAAGAGAGATAAGAGAAGACCAGGACGGCTCAGGCGGTACATGAGCAGGCCGGAGGTGAAACAATGCACGAGACACCTTACAAAACCATGCAGAAGTAACATCAATGCCGAATGCAAGCTACAGCGGTTCCTCCAGTGCCGCACGATACGAGGCGACAGTATCTGGCATAATATGACGGTCCTGAAACAACCAAGAAAGAAAGGACAAGACAACTCTATTGGAAACTGAAGTCAACCTACGAAGGGATGAGAAGAAATGGATGGACCGCCACTAAACTTCATACTGCCGCCGAGATGAAGCACGCAGGTGAGACACCATTAACGAAGCCACCTGATCACCATACAAGTGGTCATAGACTCGAGTTAAAAATACCAGACGCAAACACTCAAGGTGAAGATCGAACCAGCTACGTAACGGAACGGTCCGATCTGCTGAAAAAGGTGGAGCCGCAGGAAAACTCCTGGGGTCAGACACCGAGCAAGCAGCACCTGAAACCAAGGCTGGGCTGGCCACCAAGGAGCCAGAAGGACTACTCTTCCCTGGTAAGTCTCCAAGCAAGCTAAGACAGAGCAACAGCTAGACCAGGGGAAAGAGGTACAGGTAACCCCATCTCAACCAGTCCTGCTGAAAGGTATCGACCCTGTCGGCCTCACAGTCGGGGAAGGGCACCACACACACCGGGAGACGCCTCGACCACTCCAATGCGAAGAGGTCCACCTCCGAGAGCCCGTACGTCCAGAAGAGCCAACTAAACGAGTCAGCATCAACCGTCCATTCCGTGGACAGGGAAATGAACTGAGACAGGCCATCCACCAGGATGTTGGACACCTCCTGAACGTGAACAGCCAGGAGAGCCAAACCCCGAGAACTCAGCAGACGAGTCACCCGAAACGACCAGCCCCAAATAGCCAAGGACTGCATTGAGCCCCCTCGGTTCAGGCAATGAACCATCAGGGAGTAGTTCGAATGGAGCCGGATCTACGATCTGTGAGCGACCCGAACCCTCCATAGTGACAACCGCACTACCGCAAACTTCCGCACTGTGCTGTGGGCCAGAAGGAAGGACGGACCATACCGCCCCTGGCTGGCCTGGTGAGCACTGGTCACAAAACCCCAGCTGAGAGATGACACGTCCGTGAACACATCGAGCGAGGGCTCAATAGGCGCAAGGCACTGAACCCTGAAAAACCCTTAGAGGAAGCTGGAAGTTGGCAGCAGCCAACATAAGGCCCCTGGGGGCTGAACCCAGCGATTGCAAGGCAGAAGGGACAGTCCCAAAGAAACCAGAATAGCAGATAAAGCCAAACCTGACCCGGCGGGTAGACCATCATCGCAAAGTTCACGCTCCTGCACAAGCCCTCGAGCAACCGCCAGGTGATCCAAGAGCCCCCCTAGAAGCAAGCACATGCGAGACCGCAGCCAAAGGAGAGACTCCGGAGGGAGAGACAAGAATGTGGTTAGAGAATCCCACACACGTCCCAGCCTGGTCCGAACCTGGGAGGGAACCAGATGGGACTTCCGCCATTTCACCAGGAACCCGAACCCAGCTAGCTGGGAAAGCACCAAACCCCTGGCAAGCAGACACGTGGACTGACTGGGAGCCCAAACCAGCCAGTTGTCGAGTTAAGCCAACACCCGAACACCTAACAGACACAGACGGGCCAACACGACCCAGGTAAGGAGTGTGAACACTCGAGGTGCCAGGTTCAACCTGAACAGGAGGTAATGAAAGCAATAACTCTGAAGCCCAACAACAAAACCAAGCTAGTCCCTGAACCCAGGATGAATCGGGACGTGCCAATAAGCATCCTTGAGGTCCAGTTACACTATCCAAGCGCTTGGCTCCAGCAGAAGTTGGACCTGGGACAGAGTGGTCATCCGAAAGGAGGGGCAAGAAACCCACGAGTTCAGATGGGACAAATCCAGAATGAACCGCAGGTCCGCACAGCCCCATTTCGGAACTGGAAATAGGCGGAAAACCTACCTGAGAGATGTCGTCGTTTCGACCAAGCCTAAGCGCACCCACTCCGAGATGACCTGATAAAACGCAGGAGAAGAGGCCTACCCCGAACCCGCCGAAGGAGGAGGAGTCACCCAACGCCACTACAGGCATCGAGAAATTACCCAAAAAGCCCACGAATCGTGAGAACAGGTGTGAGTGAACAAAGCAAGCCTCACTCCCATTACAGATGGGGTGAGGCTTGCACCCAGAGCGATACATACAGAGGCATACACACAGAGCAATCACCGCACAGACCAGACTCAGACAGTTCCGAAGGCGCCACCGGCTCCGAAACAGGCACCCATGGCCTACCCCAACAAGTGGAACCCCGAGCCCTGGCACAACCCCTCCGGGAAGAACCCACCCGGGACCCTTGGAGAACAACAGGTCGGACATCGGACGACAGTTGAAAGCTGCTGCTTGCATATACTGCATGACTGCAGAGTCCATAAACAGCAAAAGACAAAAGGGCGAACACAACCTAAGAGCCAGGGCCCAAGTGGATTCCAAGAAGGAAGCAAGCACAATCTGTCAACAAGCGAGATGTGCAGTGAAAAACCGCGACAGCACATCCCGTAGGATCGGCGCAAACAGCTTCAAAAGTGCAGACGGTGCACAAGCAGCCGAGAACAAGGCACCAGACCCAGGAACGGCCCCACGCACCTCTACATCCGCCGCAAGCCAATCTGCAGACAGCTCCAGGAGGGAAAAGAAATGCAAGATTGAAGCCAGCAAGCCACAAGCGCACAAGTCCTCAGCCACAGGCACAGCTGACAGGGAAAGAACCTGCACGTGAAGCCGAATCATGTCAACATCCCACAGAAGTGCAGGAGCGAAAAGACACTGATTAAGATGCTCAAAGTCGCCCCCCAGGTAAACCTGGACCACAGTCAAAGCCTCGCGCCACTCAAGCATGCAGGTACGACAAAAGGTGTCCCAGGCATCCAATGACAACAGCGGGCAGTCCGCAAACCAGGACGACTCCTGAACCTCATAACGAACCCAGTATGGAAACAAAGATCCAAACTTGAAGGAAGACAAATCCATTACAGAGGCATATTCTGGGTCGCACAGGAGGTAAGCCACAATGGCCACCCGTACTTCAACAGGCGAGATGCGGTAGGCTGAAAACCTCCAGAAGAACGGAATCGAAGGACCAGACCAGCAGAGACAAAGAACCGAACCCGGGGAGGAGCCGAACCCAAATCCAACGTGTACGCAGCGAGGGGAAAGGAGAAAATAGCATGTCATCAGTAGACTGGGTGAATTGGTCACAAACAAGCAACAATGCTCGCAGGATTCTGGGTCAAAGATGACACCAACTCATCATGCAGCATGACGGAGGTAAAAACAATGAACATCGCCCTGAGACAAGGGGACAGAGCAACCCTCATACTCGCACAAGGCGAGAGGGGACCCAGGGGTCGCATTCATCAGGCCCGAGTGCCCCCGTACGATTTCCCAGGGCCCCTAAACTGTTTTTGCTCTGGGTAAGCCCAGGCAGGGTACTGCTAATCGGCGTGCAATGCTACCAAACAAACTGCTAATGCTGAACCCCCGGGACGTGTCCACTTACAAGGGCGAAGCAGGGGGGTACCACCAAACAGAAAGATAAACACTAATATAACAGGGGAAAGGGACACCAAGACAGACCTCCCACCAGGTAAAAAGAAAAAGAAAAACCTCCCAAGAGGACAACGTACCCAGAGGGAACAGAGCCGACCGCTGTTATAGGTGAGAACTAGCTGCGCAGTACCTCGTGCCCCTACCAGTGCAAAACTACCATTTACCCCAAGGTAGTCAAGAGTAGAAACCCTCCAAAACACTTGGGGCAATCAATCGCCGAGCAGCAAAAGACCAACAGAGGTAGACTCAAGGTGACTTGTGGAAGAGAACCCCAACCCCCAAGAACGGTACTTACAGGGCACTCAGGGAAGGTGACCCTAAGCTCATGTAGCCCGAGTACCTGTGAATATTACTCCCAGCTCGCACACCACCATAAGAGCAGTACTGAACCAAAGGACAGAACAATGCACAAGAGTCTGGAGCTGGAGCCACACGACCATGATGTATCACATCAGATGATGAAATGGGGTGTGGATCGCCAGCACGGGGGTCTGGGGCTCCCCCTTCACCCTCCCGGGGAGGAGGGGGGGGGGGAGCTGTGCAGACATGTGGCACGGCTCATGTGATGTCATGCTCGTTTGCTTGTTTACATTTGGGGATCCACTGTGGGGTCCACTCGTTTGTTTATTTCACCGTTTTTAACCAGACTAGGGGGTTTGTTTTGGGACGCTTACCTTTCTGGGTAGCTGTCCCAGTCGATGGCAGATATAGAATGCTCCAAATCACATGTGCATTTCTATAGGCCATTGTTCCTTGTGCCTCTCTGAGGGGGCCAGGTTCTGGCTCGTGGTCCCCGGTAGGCCTAAAACTCCACCCATAACAATTTATGCCAAAGTCTAAAGAGATACATATCAGCCTGGATAGCTCCGGGGAGCCGAAGAAGCTTCCCCCAGAAAACATGGTACTGTACTTACTAGGGAGGTAAGTCCCTACAACTTGGCAACTATGGCAACCATATGTCCAAAGACAAGACAGTGAAGCACGAAACCCGGCCAAGGGCAACTTGTGTTACCCTTGTGTTGGGCAACATGACACCAAACTCAGTGGAACCAGTAGGATTTAACCTTTGGGAGCAACCGAGTTGGATTATTCAAGAAATACACTGTCTATTCAGGCAAAATTCAGCTTACCAGTAGCTTGTTCTGGAGAATTTTTGTAACACCAGCTGCTGCCCTTTCCACATATGTATTGTATGCTTGAGTGAGCTGTGATGCTGAAACATGCTCTGGTGAGAACAGTGGGTGATGGGTGAAGGTTAACTGGGCAAGCTCAACATCCAATACCCCTCCATCATCCGGACTCATCGTCTGCAAACACTCACTTGGACGAGGCTGATGATACATGATGAAATATTATATAAATATAAAAGTAATTGACTTTCAAACAATGTAAATATAAATATGCTTAGGTTTAAAGAAACACTGATTCATTTTAAAACTTAGACAGCGATTATCATTATACATTGATTTAAACTATTATTGTCTGGATTTTACACATATGATGCAAATGAGGATATAATAACTCTATGTGGATGTAATGGAGTATACCTTGACCCAAGAAAAAATCCTGCTATACCGTAGTCAACCTTGGTGGGGTTCTAGGAATTCTTCTACTCCCCAAAGAAGTAGGGAGTAGTTTCAATCGTGTCAAGGTTATGTTACTAGGCGAATGAAGTTATCGTCATAAATGTTACTAGGTGAATGCAGTCATCGTCACTGTATAAAATTCTGTCATAATTATATCGTATGCATACCAGTGATGTTCATATGGTTTTCACAATTCCACATACTTATAATAAAGTATACCAGGTAAACTAATCATCATTTGAACATAATAATTCAGCAACTACACAGGCCTATCAGCTCATACGAGGAAGCTCCTATATATTGACATAAATTGGAGCTGCCTAGAATAGGCCAATTTGTGTATACAAGTATTTATAATATTCCTATTATAAATACAATCGTTCGTCTAGATATCAAATGGCAATTAAGGATGTGTGGCAAGGGAAGGGGTGTTTGAGCTCTCATGATAACAGATGAGGTAAGGTGCCATGGGCCACCACACGATGAATTTGTGTGTGTGTAATTACCCAAGTATAGTTATGGGATGAGAGCTACGCTTGTGGTGTCCCGTCTTCCCAGTACTCTTTGTCGTATAACTCTTTGAAACTACTGATGGTTTTGGCCTTCAACACCTTCTCCCTTAACTTGTAGCAACTGTGCACCACTCTGCAAAAAGAAAAATTTCTAATATTTTTTTTTTGGCACCTCTGTTGACCAGACCACACACTAGAAGTTGAAGGGACGACGACGTTTCGGTCCATCCTGGACCATTCTCAAGTCGATTGTGTTTCTAAAGAAAGAAACCTGTGTTTAAAGAAACCTCTGTTTCTTTAGCTTGAATCTGTGTCCTCTTGTTTGTGAAGTTGCTGGTTTCAGAAATTCCTTCGTCAATTTGGTCCATTCCTGTTAGTATTTTGTAAGTGGTGATCATATCACCTCTTTTTCTTCTATCTTCTAGTTTGGCATGTTTAACGCCTTTATCTCCTCGTAACTCTTGTTTTTCAATTCCGGAAGCCATTTTGTAGCATGCCGTGGCACCTTTTCCAGCTTATTTATATGCCTCTTGAGATTTGGGCACCATACAAATGCTGCCTATTCCAATTTTGGTCTCACAAAAGTCATGAACAGTTTCTTTAGTATTTCACCATCCATATAATTAAAAGCAAGTCTGAAGTTGGAAAACGACACATATGCTCTTCGCATGATATCATTTATATGTTCCTCTCTGGTGACATTCTATTGTCAAGAAACACCCTTAGATCTCTCTCTCACTTTGTTAGAGTTCTTTAATTCCTGCACATAATTTGTAAGTTGTGTGTGGCCTATTTTCACCTATTCCACATTCCATGACATGTATTTAGTCATATTGAATTCCATTTGCCACATGGTGCTTCAAGCACTTATTGTATATAGGTCGATTTGAAAGGCAAGACAATCGTCTACATCATCTATCTTCTACTATTAGCTCAGCAACATCAGCAAACATGTTCAATATACAGTAATTCTATAGTCCTTCTGGTAGATAATTTACGTAGACAATGAACATAACTGATGCAAGAACTGAACTCTGTGGTACTCCGCTAGTAACACTCCTTCAGTCAGAAACATTGTCTCTGATTACTGCCCTCATCTGTCTGTCAGTTAGAAAATTTTTCTCTGATTACTGCTCTCATCTTTGTCAGACAATTTTTCATCCATGTCAAAGGTCTCCCTGTAACTGCTCCAGCATGTGCCAGTTTCCAGAACAACCTCTTGTGTGAGACTGTGAAAAGCCTTTTTTAGGTCCAGATAGACACAGTCAACCCACCCATCTCTTTCCTGTAGAAACTCTGTGGCTCTCTCATAAAAATTGCACTTGGATTGTAGATTTGTTACACAGGATCTTCCTGCTCTAAAACTACATTGTCTGTGTTATTGTCATTACTCTCCAGGTATTCTACCCATTTGGTTTGAATTATTTTTTATTGTTTTGATTTCCACGCTTGATAACATTTTCACGTCCCCAGCGTGCGCTCCCCAGCCCACCCCAAGGTGGGCCTGGCGTTTCCTGTGAGCGCACACCCACACTAAAATGTGCATACTCTTTTCAGTTTCTCACATAAATTTTTGTGTTACATCATTCATTTTGGTATCAAACTGTTCGCAACAGAATTCTCTAAAGGGATATATGCATACAAGGTAAAAAAGCCTGATGTGCCACCCGCAGCTAACTGAAAATAAAAAATTGGCCGAGCATTACCCCGTGAGCGCGCAACTGCACTAAAATATGTATACAGTACTTTCTTCACTATTCTCATGTCAATTTTCATGTTACATCGTTCATTTTGGTATCAAATTGTTCACAATAGAATTATCTAAAGGAATATATGCATATAAGGTCAAAAAGCCAGGCATGCCACCCGCAGCAAACCCGAAAATCAGACGAGCGTTACCCGTGAGTGAGCACTTATCCGCTCACCCACAACACCCATCACTAAAATATGTATACTCTTTTCAGTTTTCTCACGTCAATTTTCATGTTATATTGTTCATTTTGGTATCAAATTGTTCACAATAGAATCCTCTAAAGGGATATATGCATATGAGGTCAAAAAGCCTGGCGTGTTACTCACAGCAAACCCGAAAATCGGCAGAGCATTACCCGTGAGTGATAACGGATAACAAAATGTCTGAGGGTTTCGGAGTTGAAACCTCTGACACTGCCGCCTCCCCCTCCCTGCTGCTTGCTCACAAAGGTCTGAGGGTTTCGGAGTGGGGTGAAGCTTAGTTAGGGATGAGACTCGGCGGCCCCGGGGGCTGCCCCATTCGATGCGGGGACGGAGGCTTTTGAGCCTGCTCTTCCCACCTAGTCTTCTTGGTCTTATCAGCAGGCCTCCTTCTTTGAAAGGCCTTACCAGCAGGCCTTTCCCTTGATCTGTGCCTTTTTTCAAGAGTGGAGGGCATGGAAGATGGCTCTGCCCCAGAGCCTGGGTTGGCCTGGGGTGCTCGGACCCCGTTTGATCTTGCCAGGGCTTTGGTGCTCTCGGGGCGGGGTTTGCTGTTGCAGGGTTCAGGGTTTTCGCATCCCCCTTCCCAGTACAAGTTTGATATGGGTTCAGCTTCCCTGCAGGTTTGTTTCCAGGTTCCTTTGGGTTCTGTGGCTTCATCCTTCAGGAGGTTTTCCACCTCTCAGATTTTCCCTACGGAAGTTCGGGAGGCACTTAGTGCATACCTTCTGCGAGCCACGGATTTTGCCTCCATGATGGACTAGGTCTCTTTTGAGTTTGGTTATTCTTCCCCGTATTGGGTGCGTTGTGATGTTCCAGCGTCTTCCTGGCTTGTAGACTGTCCTTTCTTTTCGCTTGGGGCGTGGCACTTTTTTGCCGTACCCGCACGTTGGATTGGTTGGAGCTTACTACTGTGTTGCAGGTTTACTGGGGGGGGCACTTATGAGCACCTTAATGCATGCCTTTAAGCCCCTGTGCCCCCTTGTGGAGGATGTGCAGGTGATGAGTGCCAGGCCGTCGTCTGGGGCGCTGTTCTCGGCTGCTAGGGCATCGGTAGCGTTGCCGAAACTGTATGCGCCTATCCTCAGGGAGGAGGTAACTCTGTTTTTTGCTCTCTCTATTGATTCGGCCTGGACCCTGGCTCTTAAGTTTTCTAAGTTTTTATCTCCTTGTTTGTCCATTATTGTTCTCAGATGCAGTTGTTTCTCAGTTTTAGCAGGTGACTTCTGCAAGTTGCCGTCCTCTTTCTGATTTGTTGGTGATCTGGAGTGGGCATTCTTGAGCATCCCAGAAAGATCGTGCCAAAGCTCAGGCTTCAGCAGGTCAAGTTGGGCCCTTGGTGCCAGATTCTGTACCAGTACCTCCTCCAGAGTCGTCTTCGTCTGGTCGGCGTGGTGGTCACTCTGCACGTATATCGGTATATCGGCTTCTCGGAAGAGATGCCGGCCCCTTCACGGGTCACCCCGTTGACTGGGTGATGGAAGGGGGAAGTTAGCTCTGTTTGCCCACGCTTGATCCCACGATTCATGGGCATTTCGAGTTGTGTCCTCTGGCATGTGGTGGCATTGGGCAGCTCCTCCTTGGGGAAGGGGGGAGGACAAACAACAGCTGGGGAAGGGCGAGAGAGCACGGACGAAACCAAAGTCGGAACAACTAACACCCCCAAGTTCAGGTCCCTATAACTAAAGAGGGGTAGCCACGGAGCATGCGGAAAGGCAATAAACCTAGCGCATTGCAGCAATCGAAACCTTGCATGCAACACCAAAGCTCCCTGCACCCAATTATCAGTATCAATGGACTGGGTGAATTGGAGCACCAGTAAGGAACACCACTCGTAGGACTCTGGGTCAAAGGTGTCATCGACCCAACAGGCAGCATGACAGAGGCAAAACCAGTGAATGTCACCCTGAGACAAGGGGACAGAGCAACCTTCAACCTTGAACATGCACAAGGCGAGATGGGACACAGAGGATGCATCCATCGGACCAATGAGCCCCAATGGGGTTTTCCAGGGCCCTTAGGCTGAATGCTAAGAGAAGACCAGGCAAAGTATTGCTAACCGGTTGGCCCAAACTATCGAGAGAACAATTAAAGCTGAACCCCTGCGATGTGTAGAATCACGGCGACCTAGCGGGGGACCACCAGAATAACAGAGGGTGGACAATGACCAAGTGGCAGACCTCCCCACCAGGCAACAAACAAAAAGAAAAGAAAAACCCTGCAAAAGTACAACGTCTCCAGGAACAGAACCAGCCACTGTGATAATAGGTTACAAGCTGCACAATACCTTGCGCCCCTACCAGCGATGATACTACGTACCTCCTACCCCAAGTTCAAACAGTGGCTATGAAAACCCCAGCTGACTCCAAGGGAGGGCAATCACTGAGCAGCAAAAGATCCCTATGGAGGTAGTTCCCGAACAACTTGTGGAAGATAACCCTAAGCCACAAGGGCAGTACTTACAGGGCACCTAGGGAAGGTGGCCCTAGGCACATGCAGCCCCAGTATTTCGTGAATTACTCCTGGCTCGCTCACCACCACACAGCAGAACAACACTGCAAGGACACAGCACTGCACAGAGACAGAAGCCAGAGTCGAAAGACTGCCACTCATCACATCAGACTCAGAACTGGGGTTGGATGGCCGACACAGGGGTCTGGGGGTCCCCATTTTCCCTCCTGAGGAGGGGAGAAGCTGCTCAGACAGTTGTGGTGCAGCGGCAGTTGTGACATCATGCTTGTTTGTGTGTTTTCGGATTTGGGAGTTCTGCTTGATAGTTCGACTTTCAGTAGCAATTTTTTACCAGGTGGAGTTTGTTTTGGGATGCCTACCTTTCTGCGTGCCTAACCCAGCCACTGGCAGACGTGGAATGCTTCCAACCACACAGGGGTCTCTATAGGCCATTGCTCCCCGTGCCTCTCTGAGGGGGCCAGGTTCTGGCTCGTGGTCCCCGGTAGGCAAGAACTCCAATCGAATTGACTGATGCCACGATCTAATACATACATATCAGCGTGGAAAGCCCCGGGGAGCCAAAGGGGCTCTCCTCAGAAATGTTCAGATTTATTTTCTTTCTCCAGTTTTTCTTACACTTTGCATACATATGAATATTTCTACATGAAAAAAATATTTTTTGAATTCTGTAATTGTTTGCACATAGGCAGGAATGACCATTTTTCGAGAACCGTTGTCTAAGGGTTGAGTCAATGATGCAAGTGATCTGCATAAAATATTAATCAATGATGATAAAATTATAAAATAAATGAAATACTGTGTAACGAAATTCAAAGTGTAATAACTCCTCAAGTGTCATTACAGAGAGTTATCCTACTATATCAGTGATTATACACTAATATATTTATACAATACTCTAATACACAAGATTTCATACATAAATTTCACATTTATAAAAGAAAATTAAATAAAAACCTTACATTTAAAAATAATGTCATTAAGTTTACTGTCATACTTTATACTCCAAATATAGCTCCATGAGCACAGATTACATATAATGCTTATAAGCTTTAACCCTTACACTGCTCAGGGGTCCTGGGGACATTTACACCCCTGTGCGCAAGAAAAAAAAAATTCAATTCGTCTTCTAAACATGTTAATTTGTGTCCCCTGAGCACGGGAAAAATAAGAAAAAAATCGTAGGTGACATATTCTGGGCGAAAGTGACCGAGGAAGTCTGGCAAAAAGTGGGCGTTGACAGAGCGGTCGTCAGACCCGGTCAGCGTCACCCGCGCTGATAGATGGGAGTTGCCACAAAGATATTATCACCTAATTGTTTCAATGTCTCTGATTGATTTTTTCTTAGTTTATTTGCAGTAATATTATTCAATAGTGTGTATTGTAATATATTTATATAATAAAAGTGGTGAATAATCGCTATACTCAAAAGTATGATGTGCATATTAGTGATTCAATTATTATGTTTATAAAACAATAAACAAATAGTTTTGCTGCTATTACACTCTATACACAGCTTATATATAAGTATCTGCATGTTTTGGTCACCATAACGAACCACTAAGTTGGTATTGAGAGTCGAATAGCAACGAGAAGTTACCGCCACACACCAGCCAGCCACTCGCTGCCACTCCCTCAACACACGCACTAAACTTTCTTCCCCAACAATACCATTTGTGGTGTTATTACACTATATACAGACGTTATATATGAGTATGTATATATTTGTTCACCACAACTGTACAGCTAAGCTGATATAGTTAGTTCAGGCACTAAGAGTCGTCGCTATACACAAATGGCGGCTGGCGGCTCCATCACTCATTCAAGGTCACACGCACTAAACTTTCTCCCCCAACAATACTGTTTGCAGTGTTATTACCCTGTATACACATATTATATATAAGTATCTACATGTTTTATGCACCGTAACTGTACACCTAAGCTTGTAGTGCGCCCAAAGAGCATAGTGGCCCCCCTCTAAACAGGTAGACAAATCGTGCAGACGACGTCACCTCTGTCACCCAAATGGCTCGTCCCAGCATAATCCTTTTGCTGTTATTACACTAATACACACATTATATATAAGTATCTACATTTGTGTTCACCATAGAGAACCACTGACCTGGTATGGTGAATGCAAACAATAACAGGTGGCCACACAGTCAGTAAACGATGCTGTCTCCCTCCGTCTTTCAGCATCACTCCTCCCACAGCGCTAATTATTACAACAATCCTGCTATTATCACAACCCTGGTTATTTATATCACAGTCATGGGTCATCTGTAATAGTGTCATCGCTAAATAATAACAATTATATATTTATTTTGACATTTTTCGGCGATGCTGTGGTTACAAGCTGAACAGCAATACTTTTCGCTCATGCTGCGTGCGCCAGCCTTGGTTGCTCCAACAGTACTGTGCCTCTCACACCTGAGAATATTGCCCACGATTTTTTTTTAAAATGGCATCTGTTTACAAGAGTCCTGAGGAAGCTACTGTGAACCCCGTGTAGCCGCGGGCCATTTGAATCGGGCCTGGCACCCTATGGCGTATATATACGCCATGCGCACCGTGGGACATGTTACTCAGGGTGTATATATACGCCATGCGCAGTTTAAGGGTTAAGCGTGCACTGTGTATCATAATAAGAGTACAGCACATACTCCAACAAACACAGCGAGTGGCTCCTCCTGGGTCTCCAAATCAGTAGGAAGATGACGATAGAACTGGTCACTGATGGGGTTGTCCAGCCTTTCAAGAGATCCTGTTTCCGAGAACCAATGCCTGCAACAAATCCAAGATTTATGTAGTGAAAAGCCTCTTTATGACAAGCCACTTGATCGTTCCCTGGTGTTACAACCTGGAAGCAACAAAGCCTTGGGCGAAACACACCAAGCCTCTGGAGACAAGAATGCCTACCAGGAACCAGGACCAGAATCTGTTTCCCTCCATCAAAGAGGTGAATGGGAACCTGAAGATCAGATTAATACAGTACAACAAAAATTCCACCAGAGAGCAAAATGATTCTCAAAAACATGCAACTACCTTGACAAATTTGCAAACTTTGAAGAAACATGAACACACTCATTTTACCATGACAAAATCATTGCCTAGATATACTTGCTGCCACCAAAGGGCAGGTCAAGTATCCTAGGGGGGATGGGGGGTCTCTGAAAGATGGTTAACCCATTTCTGAGCAACCCAGAACTAACACCTCCCCAGCTCTATGGGAAAAGAAGATAAAGAGTGGAAACAGAAACATACCGAGTCCCTCACCACAAAAAGGCATTTCATTACCTTCAATGTTATCTCACAACAGAGCCTCATCAAAGAAGGCAGTCTAGTCTGAAAAGAAAACATGGAGAGAGAGTCCTCATAATGAACCTTACTCTGCTGAATTCCTGCAGACCTGGTGAAGATAGAAATCAAAGGGCAGTACCTGGGAACTAATAATGTTCAATTTAGAAGAGGTCATTTCATTACACTAAAAGTACTGAATTAGGCACTCTCGGTAGCTCTCATAGCTTCCTCCCCACAGTGCTACAGGGAAGGGTAACAGTCCATTGAGTGACTTACCCCAAAAAAAAAGGAACTAGCAGAGAAAGGTCCAGTGCAGGGGGAACAACAGCACTATAGCTGTAGAAGGTCTCCCTCAAGCCACATGTCATCACTGAGGGCAAGCAAGGTTAGGGAGGTACCTGCAGAGCAGAACAAACACTTCCAGTAACCTTGAATCCTGATGGTGGTAATGGCTGAGCTGAAGGTCGTGACCAAGGCTTAGTTAACAGAACAGATGGTATGGGCATGGGGGGCAAACTCTCTGATGACTGACCTGAATCACTGGTCAGATAAATTTTGAATGTGTCACATAAAGCTCCTGGGGCCTCGTAGCCTGGTGGATAGCTCGCAGGACTCGTAATTCTGTGGCGCGGGTTCGATTCCCGCACGAGGCAGAAACAAATGGGCAAAGTTTCTTTCACCCTGAATGCCCCTGTTACCTAGCAGTAGATAGGTACCTGGGAGTTAGTCAGCTGTCACGGGCTGCTTCCTGGGGGTGGAGGCCTGGTCGAGGACCGGGCCGCGGGGACACTAAAGCCTCGAAATCATCTCAAGATAACCTCAAGATAAACAAGCATAGACAATATTTATATTTAAAAATATAATGTTGAAGAATTGGCACCCTGAAGCCTGCAGGAGTGGCAGTAACTTTGTACAGTAACTGTACAAAGAGTAGACAGACCTCAGGACACAAACCAGACCCTGCAACAAGGGTCCTGACAGAATGCCACAACCTCAGTTCTAGCAGGAGAAGTCTGAAACAAATAGCGATCACTAGGACCAAATGGCAATTCACCCCGTCTTGTGACCAAGGGCATGACAATCACTTATTCCTGATCACCATGGACCAGGGATCAATAGAATGCATATTATTTTGATCCCTAGTCACCATAGCAAAGGAAGCAATATCATATGTATTACTTCCAAGCAGCAAAGGGATTCAGAAGCAAGGAGGAAAACAGGGACGTCACAACCAAGACCCTGGGATCAATCTCCCCGCCCACGCTTCCTTACAGTTCACTGCCACATGCCGAGTATGAGCGCCCAGTGTGGGTCGAGCCAACTTTTCATCTACAGGCTAGCACAATAATATGGTACAGGTTAATCTTGCCCTCTTGTTTTGTTACCTAAAGGGGCAACCAAGTGGGATAGTTCAGAAAATAGAAAAAGAGCGTAATATATGAAAACTGCATTTCAGAGTAAACTTGCTTCGTTACCACAAGCTAATCTCAATAATGTATTCTTTCTTTCATCTTACCTTTGGCCTTAGGTAGCGAGCAAGTGAGTCTACTTGGAGAAGAGCTTTTCATATACTGTACATCGATAAATTATAGGTCCCAAAATATATCCTATTTATCCCATATGGTAATATATTAGCAGTACACCAGGAACACATCCAGTAATAATCAGTAACTGTAGCTTCTTGTATCCATGACGCTTCTCTCTAACCATGCAGTATTTACCAAGCTATCTAATCAACATATCAGTATCAGATGAACCAATCAATACTCAAGTCAATAAATATATAAATCCATTTTTCCACATTAAAGCAAATTGATTGTGCAAAATTTCTGATCAATTCATCCCCTTTCAGAACATCATAAATATTTTAATCAAATTTTGATGAATGAACTAATCTTGCAAAGCTTATTAAACATGCATTGATTTATCACTTCATAAAAATAGCAATACCAACCTATCTCCTTGTTGAAGAAGCCTATTTTCAATGATGTTGATATTAGTTGGTGTAATATAAGGTTTTGCACCAACAAAGAGTCCTTCATCTTCAAGGTTTCTCAGCTCAGTATCAGCATTAATCTTGTTTTGCACATCACCTGCAAGCAATCAGAGCAAAACACTTCTCAGTATACAGCACCTTGACAAAGCTACAGTTATATACTAGACATGCACCAGAATCCGAGACTAAACATGGCGCTGAGGAAATACGAAATGCATGTTTCTCACCAGTGCCATATGACTGCCATTTAAGGCAAGATCCATTATGTCCTTTGGATAATGATCATGACACTAAGCTAAGTGACGCAAAAGAGGAGCTCCCCAGAAACACCTGTAATACAGGTATAATAAACAGGTTACACCACTCAGGAGTGCAGGTCCGACAAAAGCTGCCAAGCACCAAACAAGAATAAGGGATTATCTGCCAGCCAGGAAGATTCCGGAACCTTGTATTGCATCTGAGGAGGAGAAGACCTAAACTCAAAAGAGCCAGGGTCCATCAATGAGGTAATCTGGGTCATGCAGGAGGTACATAAACAGTGCCTCATGAGCTGTTGAAGCAGGGGACCCTGAGAGGCAGGAAACTACCAGAAGGGTCACTTCCATGTGCCTTTGGGCCCATTGGAATATCCATTCAGGGAAGGGGGATACAAAATCCCCTTCCCCTGCAAAAGGAGACCCTCCTCGGGGAGACCAAGGAGCTATGTAGAATCAAATTGGACCTAGGAGCTCACAACCAGCATCCCTTCATGCCCTGAAAGCTGCAGTTAAGGGCTCTAGGGTGGAGCCAGCATCCGCACACACTGCTGGGACAGAAAAGTGAAGTCTAGGGGGGAGAAGCTTCATAAAAGGAAGATGGGGAGCTGACTGAAGGAAAACCCCGAAGCCTCAGCAAGACTAGCCAGCTCAACTATCCCTGCACTTGGTAGTCGAGAGGAACCTCTAAATTATGGACCCCGTATCAGTAACAAGCATGGTAATCAAAACACTAGAAAAATAGTTAATGTCAAATGGGTTGAACACCTAGAGAGTAATGACATAATATATATATATATATATTTAATTTTAATTATATACAAGTGTTCTTACACTCTTGTAAAGCCACTAGCACACATAGGGTTTTGGGCAGGACCTTAAACCTAATTTTTCCCCGGAATACAACCCACTAAATCATTTAACAACCAGGTACCCATTCACTGCTGGGTGAATAGAGGCTACAGTTAAGGATTGGCACCATGTCAATCCTCCCCAGCCAGGATACGAACCCAAGGATAGAGTCCCACACAAGAGGCTGTTCTGGAAGCTGGAACATGCTGGAGGAATGACAGGGAGACTTCTGACATGGATGACAAATTTTCTAACTGCCAGACCGATGAGGGGAGTAATTAGAGACAATTCATCTGACTGAAGGATTATTACTAGCGGAGTACCACAAGGTTCAGTTCTTGCACCAGTAATGTTCATCGACTACATAAATGATCTACCAGAAGGAATACAGAATTATATGAACATGTTTGCAGATAATGATAATGGAGAAGATAGGAGACACAGATGATTGTAATGCTCTTCAAACTTATCTAGATAAAATAGGTGCTTGGAGCGACAAGTGGCAAATACAATTCAATGTGAATAAATGCCATGTTATGGAATGTGGAATCGGAGAAAACAGACCACACACAACTTACAAATTATGTGGAAAGGAATTACAGAACTGTAATAAAGAACGAGACCTAGAGGTGGTTTTAGATAGTAAGCTGTTGCCAGAGGAACACATAAAGAACATTGTGAGAGGAGCGTATGCATCGCTTTCCAACTTCAGACTTGCTTTTAATTACATAGATTGTGAAATATTAAAGTATGTGTAAAATATGTAAATTATATTAAAGAAATATTCTTATATGTGCTGCCAATTTTCTTATATGTGCTGCCAATCTGTTGTATGGTGTTTATAAATCTTGTTTATCTGTATCTTTTGCTACCCAGTCGCCCAATCTTTATGTACCCATTCTGAACATCTTTACCATTGTGATCATTGCTGTCTTATATGTGCTGTCAATCTGCTGTATGGTGTCTATTAATCTTGTTTAAATTACTAATCAAGCTGTCAATGTAATCAATCAGAGCTTAATATAACAATGTGCTTTAATATACTTACTTATCTCTCTCATCTCATTTTTCTCTTGTAATGTATCTTTATCATTTATCAATTCTGATTGAAATTACCTACTTAAAATTATCTGCTAGATTAAGGACCTGCCCGAAACGCTGCGCGTACTAGTAGCTTTACAAGAATGTAATTACTGTACTATCCAATGTATTCTCACAAACCCAATGTACCTTCTTGTATATATATAAATAAATAAATAAAATAAAGAAATTGTTCATAACTTTTGTGAGACTAAAATTGGAATATGCAGCAGCTGTATGGTGCCCAAACCTCAAGAAGCACATAAATAAACTGGAAAAGGTGCAGCGGCATGCTACAAAATGGTTTCTGGAACTGAAAAACAAGAGTAACGAAGAGAGACTAAAGGTGTTAAACATGCCAAAACTAGAAGATAGGATAAAAAAAAACACAAGGGGCACAGTCAATCAAGGGACCCCACCTCATCCATGTTACGAGGTACAATGGTGGAGGTGCAGGTTATGTGGTAAATGTTACTGTATCAGGATGTTGTGTGGTGACAATTTGCTGCAGTTTTGTGACTGGGGATGCGTGTTGGGGTTTGATTGTGGCGTTTCTTGTGGTCTTATCTGCGGTCCCTCATTCCTCTCCTGTCTTGGAGTGCCTGGCTTAGCCCTTCCATGTACATTGGTTTCTCTGTACTTACCTAATTGTCCGCACCTGGTTGTTCTTGCTGGGGGTTGAGCTTTGGCTCTTTCGTCCTGCCTCTTCCCTGTTACTTACCTGACATCTACTGGGCTCTGTCATGTCTGCACTTGCAGCTGTGTGTCGGGTCAGCCGTCATCTCCACCACTTCCCTTCCTCATGCATTCCATTTGTTTACTACTCTGACACTGGAATGTTTCTTTCTTGCATTTCTATGGCTCCTTTGGGCACTCAATTCCTCCTATGTCTCATGGTGCATGTGCCCCTTGTGTTGATTAGTCTGTCTTCGTTGCTCGTACCCCTCGGTTCGGGTACTAGTCTGGTGGCAAACCTTTGTACCTTAGTCAGTTTGAATTGTTGGGACAGGGCCTTCAACTGTGTGTGTTGCTGACATGACTTGTTGGGACATGATCTGCAGCTCTGTGGGTTGGTCGTGTCCCTTTCGTTCCAGATTTGCTGCATGCCTTCTTCGTTCATCATCTTCCTGCTTCACTCTTCTACCTGGCTGCTGGTGCTGGGGCTGTTCTGGTCTTTTTCTCGTTTTATCCAATGCACTGTTGTGTGTTTTATTTGTGCCTTTTGGCCCTCCTATTGCCAGGTTTGTGTTCTTGTTTTTCTGGCTTGCACTGCCTGTTGGCATTTTCAGGGTCTCGCGGTGTCCCTTCTCTGGGGTCTCGCGTCGGACCCGTAGTCTCTATTCTCCTGGTGAGCTTGCTGGCGTTGGGAAGTTTTCTGTTCGGCAGGCATCGAGATCTTCCCGCGGCTCCGCCTCTTCCTAGGCTCGATTGGTCCATGGCAGGGTTGGTTCGGTTCTGCCTCGAGTCTCTCGCCTTCGGTTGGTGATCAGGTGGCTTCGTTGTTGGTGTCCCATCTGCGTGCTTCTTCTTGGCGGCTGTGTGAGGTTGTTAAGTGGTCCTACCTTTTTCCTTCTGTCTTTTCTTAGGTGGCTGCATTTGTTGGCGTTGACTTGTCCTTCTCTTGTGGAGGCTCGGGGCTGTCATATTGCCACACACTGTCACCTCGTATCGTGCGGCGCTGGCGGAGCCGCTTCAGCTTGCTTTCGTTCTTGGTGTTACATCTGCGCTGTTTCGCAAGCTGTCTCGTGCGTTGTTTCACCTCCAGCCTGCTCATGCGCCATCTGAGCTGTCCTGGTCTTTGGACAGTGTGCTCTCTTTTCTTCTTCTCCTCGGTTTGTTGTGGCCCCTTTGGTTCAGGATTGTTTCTAGCAGGCTCTTTTCCTGTTGGCATTTGCCTCTAGGGGTCGGGTCGGTGAGCTTCATGCTCTCCTCCTGCGCAGGGGTTTCTGCTTCTTCGGTCGTGGCGATAGGTTTGTTCGGTTGCAGCCGTCTCCCCTTTTCTGGCACAGAATGAGACTGCTGTTTTCCGGAGGGGTCCTTGGGTTGTTGGTGCTTGGTTGGTCGGGCCGGGGGTGCATCGTGTTTTTGTGTCCGGTTGCGGCCCTCCACTGTTATTTGCGTGCCACGGCTTCTGTGTCCGGGGACACGCTTTGGGTTGATCCAGTTCCTTTCTTCCCTGTTCGAGGGAGAGGGTCTCCCAGATCGTCCACCGAGTTATTAAGGCTAGCCGGCCTGCATCTATCTCCGTGCCCATGACGTTCGAAGGTTCGCTGCTCTTTCGGCCGTATTTGGCGATGTGTCCTGGCTGACATTCAGGCACGGGGCTTTTGGCGGTCATACAGGGTCCTGGCTGCTGGTTACCTCGTGGTCGTTCCCAGGTCCCATTCGGGCCTGTGTCGCCTTGGGTTGGCGGTTGCAATTGTCTCGACTTTGAGTTGTGGAGTGCGCGGCGACCACCTCTCGGGTAACTCCCTATTACAGTATTTCCTCTGTGGATAGTTAGCTCTGGGGAGCAGAAGGGGCTCCCCCCAGAAAACCAGAGCTGAACGTAATGAAATGCCATTTTCTGGGAGAGACCCGGAGGCTCCCCGGCATCCCTCCCCTCCCTACCTCCGGTCGGTGTTTTTTTGCATGTTTTGACATTCAGCCTCAGAACTGAAGGGTGGATAGCCAGTGTGGGGGGGTCTGGGGCTCCCCCTTTCCCTCTCCTGGGGAGAGGGGAGCTGCGCAGACAGTGGCGCGGCAACGTGTGGCGTCATGCTCGTTTGCTCGTTTCTTTTAGGGGAGTTCTATCCACTTGTTCGGCTTGTAGTAGCAATAATTTCACCAGAATAGGGGTTTGTTTTGGGATGCTTACCTTTCTGGGTGCCTGACCCGGTCGATGGCAGACATAGAATGTTTCCAACCACAAGGGGCGTTTCTATAGGCCATTGCTACCCATGCCTCTCTGAGGGGGCCAGGTTCTGGCTCGTGGTCCCCGGTAGGCCCACAGAACTCCATGCACATGACTGATGCCAAAGTCTGACATTAGCATATCAGCCTAGTAAGCTCCGGGGAGCCGAAGGGGCTCCCCCCAGAAAGAAGAGATATATGATCACCACTTACAAAATACTAACAGGAATCAACCAAACTGACAAAGAGGAATTCCTGAAACCAACAACTTCACAAACAAGAGAACACAGATTCAAGCTAAGGAAACAAAGATGCAGAAAAAATATTAGAAGGTTTTCTTTTGTAGAGTGGTAGACGGTTGGAACAAGCTATGTGAGAAGGTGGTGGAGGCCATAACCGTCAGTAGTTTCAAAGCGTTATATGACAAAGAGTACTGGAAAGACGGTACACCACGAGTGTAGCTCTCATCCTGTAACTACACTTGGGTAATTACACTTAGGCAATCACCTGATTTGGAAGGGAGCAACCCCTAGAGCTGGCCAAGCCCAGCTAAACCCTGCTCTGAATAGGAAACCCCCCAGACATTTCTGGGCCAGGAATAGGGGGGAAAGTAACAGGAGAAGGGCAAACCTAGCCCAAAGGGGAATGATGAGAATGTGTGAATGAAGCCAATGTGGAGTTCACAACACCTATAATTCCATAGTCCATAAACACCAGATGGTGCAGCTCCAGGACGTTCAACCGGGCACATAACGTCGACCGCTGCAACTGTGCCAAATAGACTCGCAAAGCAGAAACCATCTGATATTCCCTAACCTCATCAGGAGGGTCAGAAGGAGAGTCACTTGGGGGAGAAAAAAACCCAAAGGACTTGGGGTCAAAGGTGTCACTGACTCAACAGGCAGCATAGCCGAGGTAAAATGAGTGATAGTTATCTAGTAACAGAGACGAAAACGAACACTCAAATGCACAGGTTTGTGGGGGAAGGGATATCCATAGGACCACCAAACCTGCAAGGGATTTGCAGGGCCTGGAGGGTAAACCATGCTGGACACCCAAACACTGGGGATGCTACGCTGGACCTAAAAGTAAGCCGACAGCCTGGGTTATACGGCTGCGAAGGCTGACCTTGGCACGCTGAAGGGAAGTCTATGAACTACCAGCCAAAGTTGCAGCTGACCTGGGTGTAGCAATCTGACAGTGGGCAGCCAGGGCCCAAACCTGGCTGGTCCCGGCAGTGGTGGACAGGTGGCACTAGTGGAACCCGTACAGAGCCCTCAACCAAACTCTGTCCAATGGGAAGATCACACAAGAAAAATTCAGGTTTCTGCACAGCCTCACAACCAAGCACTGAGTTACCCAGGGTAGGTCCAAAACTAGATGGTGATGGTGCTGTAAGCAGAACAAAGCTGAAGGAGGTAGGAAGAGAGGAGCAAACAAACAACTCAAGAACAGAGTTAAAGAAGCTCTACTTGAGAACATTTGAAAGATGGAACTCACTTCCCGCTAATCAAGCACGTGGGCTCAACAGAACCCCGGCCAAGCCCCTAAGAAAAAAGAGGGTTTTCAGCCAACACGAATGAACCCAAGACCTCGTACTGCAACCAATAAGCAGAGACAGTCCCGTACTCAAGAGAGACAGGGTGCATCATCTAAAGAGGTCTGTGTTCCACAGGAAGTACCAAAGCAAATCCACATTGAAGGTGCGGTGCGTGAAGATGGACTCTGTGAAAAGACAACTCCGAGGCATCAAACAGGACTCGGAACCAAATCTGAGGTTCCGAGCACCTGAATGATTAAACTCTTACATGGAGGGAGGATAAAAAAAAAAATAATCCCTTTGCAGCAAAAGACCCTCTGCAGAGGGAACCAAAGTTCCCAAAGGGCTTAAAGACACCTTTTGACACTCCTTGGGCTCCCCCTAAGACCCGGAAGTTTGCCACAAAGGCACCTGGGCAGAACCAAACTCCTCGGACAATATCTGAGAGAAGAAGGTGTCCTCCCGAACACAAGGCTCAGAGCGAGGGATGGTTGTGAAGGCGAGTGCCCCAAAACTCCAGAGGGATTGGAAGGAAGAAGGTTAGAATGTACATACTTAAATGCTCTAACCTTCTTAACAATCGTTATTTGACTTAAACTTTGCCCAAGTTGCTTATTCCTACCATATTTTGTTATTCTTATCTTTTCCCTTGTTCTAACCTCCTCCTTTTTCTTACATTCATCCTATTCTTACCTAATTCTTTCATTCATCCAAATCTTACCTTATTCTTACATTCATCCTATTATTTCCTTACTCTTACCAGCTCCTCACCTCACACTCTTACCTTATATTTACCTGTACCTTCCTCTGTTTTCTCAAACGGCTTGACAATACAGCACTAACATCGCACATCATAAAAATTTTTGAGAGAGTGCTAAGAAGTAAGATCACAAAATACATGGAATCACAGCATCTCCATAACCCCGGACAACATGGTTTCAGAACAGGGCACTCTTGCCTGTCGCAGTTGCTGGACCACTATGATATGGCATTAGATGCTATGGAAGACAAACAAAACGCTGATGTAATTTACACAGATTTCGCAAAAGCTTTTGATAAATGTGACCATGGTGTTATTGCACATAAAATGCGTTCAAAAGGAATTACCGGGAAAATAGGCAGATGGATCTACAATTTCCTGACTGACAGAACCCAATGTGTAATAGTCAACAAAATAAAATCCAGCCCATCAACCGTGAAGAGCTCAGTCCCCCAGGGTACTGTGCTTGCTCCAGTACTTTTTCTCATCCTCATATCGGACATAGACCAGAACACAACCTATAGCACTGTATCATCCTTTGCAGATGACACTAGGATTTTCATGAGAGTTGGCAACATAGAAGACACGGCAAACCTCCAATCAGATGTAGATCAGGTCTTTCTATGGGCTACAGAAAATAATATGGTATTCAACGAGGATAAGTTTCAGCTCATGCGCTACGGAAAAATTGAAAATATAAAAACAGAAACCACGTACAAAACGCAGGCAAATCATAACATAGAACGAAAAGGCAATGTAAAGGACCTGGGTGTGCTCATGTCGGAAGACCTTACCTTTAAAGAACACAATAAAGTAGCCGTCGCAACTGCAAGAAAATGACAGGTTGGATAACAAGAACTTTTCACACTAGAGATGCTATACCGATGATGATACTTTTCAAAACGCTTGTGCTCTCTAGAGTGGAGTACTGCTGCACAATGACAGCCCCTTTCAAAGCTGGAGAAATTGCTGACCTAGAGAGCGTGCAGAGATCCTTTACTGCTAGAATCCACTCAGTAAAACATCTAAATTACTGGGACCGACTAAAGAGCCTAAATCTGTACTCCCTTGAGCGCAGGCGGGAGAGATACATAATAATTTACACGTGGAAAATAATTGAGGGGCTGGTCCCAAACCTGCACACAGAAATAACATCACATGAGACCAGAAGACATGGCAGGATGTGCAGAATACCCCCGTTGAAAAGCAGAGGTGCAACTGGTACTCTGAGAGAGAACTCTATCAACATCAGAGGCCCGAGACTGTTCAACACGCTTCCACTACACATAAGGGGCATAACTGGCAAACCCCTCACAGTGTTCAAGAGAGAACTGGATAAGCACCTCCAAAGGATACCTGATCAACCAGGCTGTGACTCATACGTCAGGCTGCGAGCAGCCGCGTCTAACAGCCTGGTTGATCAGTCCAGCAACCAGGAGGCCTGGTCGACGACCGGGCCGCGGGGACACTAAGCCCCGGAAGCACCTCAAGGTAGCTCAAGGTAGGTAGGACAATGGTCCAGGAAGGACTGAAACATTGTCGTTTCTGCACTTTGTGATGTGAAGTTTGGTCATCACGGTTCTATATATTGTCACTTTTTGTTCATTAAACACTTAAGTTTAAAAGTAGGCTCCCCAATCATTGCACAACTTCATAATGACCTATAACAAGATTTGATCTAGTATATACTGTACTAACTTGGTAGCATGGAAGGTACAAAGAGTGTTGCCTCATCATTTGCACATCTCTCATGGTAGGATACATATGTGGCAGGAACCGTGCGGGTCACCAGCTGCATCCGAGACGCCACCAGTGCTGACATCTCGCTCTCTTCATCTATGTGCAGGTAAGGAAAGTAGTCAGAATGTTAAGGACACTATAAAATACACTTTATTGGGAAAGAATACCCATTACTTGGTAATATTTTAAGATGAAACACATTGTACTGAATTGAAGTTATTTAACAATAGAATTAGTATAGAGAACAACCTAAAGTAGAAAATCTTAGAATAACTGGCATTTAGATGGTAAAATTCTGATCCTGATCACATATTTAAGTACCAATACACTAGCCAAAATTTCAACAATGACTATTACAAGAGTTCTGTAAGATAAAAAAAAACTAGCGTTGAATGTAATGAAACGCTATTTTCTGGGTGAGACCCAGAGGATCCCCAGAGCTTACTAGGCTGATATGCTAATGTCAGACTTTGCCATCAGTGATGTGTATGGAGTTCTATGGGCCTACCGGGGACCACAAGCCAGAATCTGGCCCCCCTCAGAAGAGGCAAGGGGGAGCAATGGCCTATAGAAACCCCAGTGTGGTTGGAAGCATTCTATGTCTGCCATCGACCGGGTCAGGCACCCAGAAAAGGTAAGCATCCCAAAACAAACCCCTATTCTGGTGAAATTATTGCTACCACAAGCTGAACAAGTGGACAGAACTCCCCTAAATGAAACAAGCAAACGATTATGATGTCACACGTCGCCAATCAGTGCAGCCTGTGTCTGCATGTCTGTGCAGCTCCCCAATCCCCAGGAAGGGAAAGGGGGAGCCCCAGACCCCTCACGCTGGCTATCCACCCTTCAGTTCTTAGGCTGGATGTCAAAACACGCGAAAAAAACGCTGACCGGAGAGAGGGAGGGATACCGGGGAGCTTCCAGGTCTCACCTAGAAAATGGCGTTTCATTACATTTAACGGTGGGTTTCTGGGGAAAGCCCCTTCAGCTCCCTGGAGCTACTACCCACAGAGGAAAAGAATACTGTAGAGACTTACCCGGAATGCAGTCACTGCTCACTCCTCAACGCGAAGTCTAGACAACTGGCTGCAACCGCCGACCCAAAGCGACACAGGCCCGACTAGGCCCAGGGACGTTCACAAGGTAACGAGCAGATAGGACCCTGTTCGACCGCCAAAAACCCAGTGGACGAATTTCAGCCCACAATATGTTGCCAAAGACGGCAGCAAGAGCAGTGAACTTACGAATGTCATGGGCACTGGGATAGACCACAGGCTGGCTAGCCTTAATAACTCGGCGGACGACCTGGGAGACCCGAACACACAAACAGGGAAGAAGGGAAACCGGAATCAACCCAAAGCGCTTCCCCGGACACAGAAGCTGTGGCGCACAAATAACGGCGGAGAGCCACAACCAGACACAAAACATTATGCACCCCCGGCCTAACCAACCAAGTATCAACAACCCAGGGACCCCTCCAGAAAGCAGCAGTCTCATTCTTTGCTAGAAAAGATGGAGACGGCTGCAGACGAACAAAACAATCACGAAGACTGAAAGAGCAGAAACCCCTGCGCTGAAGGAGAGCATGAAGCTCAGCAACCCGACCCCCAGAGGCCAATGCCAACAGAAAGAGAACCTTGGAGAAACAATCCTGAACCGAAGGGGCCACAACAAACCGAGGAGAAGAAAGATAAGAGAGCACTCTGTCCAATGACCAGGACAGCTCAGGCAGCGCATAAGCAGGCTGCAGGTGAAACAATGCCCGAGACAGCTTGTGAAATGCGCAGAAGTAACATCAATACTGAAAGCAAGCTGAAGCGGCTCTGCCAGTGCCGCATGATACGAGGCGACAGTGTTAGGCATAAGGTGATGGTCCTGGAACAACCAAGAGAGGAAGGACAACACAACCCTAACAGAAAGAGAAGCACAATGACGAAGACGCAAAAAGAACCGGAAGGACCGCCAGGAGACTTTATACTGCTGCCGAGACGAAGCCCGCAGGTGGGACACTAACAAAGACGCCACCTGATCACCATAGAGATGATGAAAAACTCAAGTCAAAAAGACCATACGCGAAGACTCGAGAAGATCGAAGGACCCACGTGATGCACCCAGCCGATCTGTTGGAAGAGGCGGAGCTGCTGGAAAACCTCCGGGTTCGGACACCGGGCAAGCAGCGCTTAAAACCATGGCTGGGCCGGCCACCAAGGAGCCAAGAGGACTACTCTCCCCTGGTAGGTCTCCAAGCTAGTCAGGACCTGGAGCAACAGCTGAACTGGGGAAAAGAGGTACAGGAATCCCCCACTTTAACCAGTCCTGCCGAAAGGCATCGACCCCCGACGGCCTTGCAATCGGAGAAAGGGGCCGCGACCATGCCGATGTGATGAGGTCCACCTCGGGGAGCCCGAACAACCGGCAGAGCCAACTGAAAGATCACAATCAACTCGAGAATGGTTCAGGACGAACCAAAACATCGTCATCCCTTCACTTTCTAGTGTGTGGTCTGGTCAACCAATGGAAGGAGTCAGCGTCGACCGTCCATTCCGTGGAGAGGGGAACGAAACGGGACAGGTTGTCGGCCAAGATGTTGGAAACTCCCCGCATATGAACAGAAATGAGAGCCAAACCCCGAGAACTCAGCAGACGAGTCACCCGAAGCGACCAGCGCCAAGGAGCCAAGGACCTCATCGAACCCCCTTGGTTCAGGCAATGAACCACCGGAAAACCGTCTGAATGGAGCCAGATCGTCGACCCGCGAGCGACCCGAATCCTCCGAAGTGCAAACCACACCGCTGCGAACTCCCGCACCGTGCTGTGGGCTCGATGGAAGGACATACCCTACTGCCCTTGGCCGGCCTGGTGAGCACTGGTCACAAAGCCCCAGCCGAGAGACGACGCATCCGTGAACACATCGAGCAAGGGCAAGCACCAAGGCACTGAACCCCGAAAAACCCGAAGATGAAGCCCGTGATGCAGCAGCTGATGTAAGGCCCCTAGAGGTCAAACCAAGCGATCGCGAGAGAGGCGGAAGGGATGTCCCCGGAGAACCAGAACAGCCGATGAAGCCAAACCCGACCCGGCGGGAATTCCAACATTGCAAAGTTCAGGCTCCCGCACAAACCCTCGAGCAACCACCTGGTGACCCGGGAGTCCTCCCTGAAACAGGCGCAAACGGGACCGCAGCTGGAGGAGAGACTCCGGAGGAAGAGACAAGGAAGCAGTCTGAGAGTTCCACACAAGACCCAGCCACGACCAAACCTGGGAGGGAACCAGATTGGACTTCCTCCAGTTCACCAAGAACACGAACCTGGGGAGCTGGGAAAGAACCAAATCCCTGGCTAGCAGACAACTGAACTGGCTGGGAGCCTAAACCAGCCAGTTGTCGAGACAGGCCAACACCCAAACACCTAAAAGATGCAGACAGGCCACGACGACCCGTGTAAGACGTGTGAACACACAAGGTGCCAGATTCAACCCGAACGGGAAACAATGTAAGCGGTAACCTTGATGCCCCACAACAAAGCCGAGCCAGTCCCTGAACCCCGGATGAATCGGTATGTGTCAATAAACGTCCCGGAGGTCCAGGGACACCATTCAAGAACCCGGCTCCAACAGGAGCCCGCGTATTCATCCGAAAGGAGGGCCAATGAACCTAGGGGTTCATACGGGACAAGTCCAGAATGAACCGCAGGTCCGCACAGTCCCATTTCGGCACTGGAAACAGACGGGAAACCCATCTGAGGGACATCGTTTCGACGACACCCAAGCAAACCCACTCCAAGACGACCTGACGTAGCGCAGGAGAAGAGGCCTACCCCGTCAGCACCGAACCCCACAAAAGGGGAGGGGCCACCCAACGCCACCGCAGGCCGAAGGAAACAACCCGAAACGCCCACAAATCGTGGGACCAGGCATGAGCGAACAACGTAAGCGCCCGTCAATGGAGCGAATCGCAAAACGGCCGGCGCCCCTTACAAAATCCTAAAGCCCCGCACAGGGCAAACACAACGCCGACCAGACAAAGGCAGGTCCGAAGGCGGAGCCAAGCCCGAAACTGGCACTAGTGGCCTATCACGACGAGAGGAACCTCGAGCCCTGGCGCAACCCCTCCGGGAATGTCCCCTTCCCCCCGAAACCCCCGGAGAACCAACAAGTCCGACATAGGACGGCAACTGGACGAAGCAGCCTGAATATACTGCGCCATGGCCAAACTAGCAAAAAGCAGTAGACAGAAGTGCGAAGACATCCCAAGAGCCAGGACCCAGGCCGATTCCGGAGAGGAGGCAAGCACCACCTGCCGATACGTGAGCCAAGAAGCGTAAAACTGGGAAACTGCATCCCGCAAGATCAGCACAAACAGCTTTAACAAGACAGCCGACGCGCGAGCCGCCAAGCTCAAGGCACCGGACCCCAGAATGGCCCCGAGCACCCCCACATCCTCCCCAAGCCAGTCCGAAGACAGTTCCAGGAGGGAAAAGAAGCGTAAGGCCGAAGCCAAGAGGCCCCGGGCGTGCAAATCCACGTGCAAATCCACGCTGTCTGCGTGCGAGCCACGCAGACAGCGGCGCGGCGACGTGTGATGTCATGATCGTTTGCTTGTTTCTTTTAGGGGAGTTCTATCCACTTCTTTGGCTTGTGGTAGCAATAATTTCACCAGAATAGGGGTTTGTTTTGGGATGCTTACCTTTACTGGGTGCCTGACCCGGTCGATGGCAGACATAGAATGCTTCCAACCACACGGGGGTTTCTATAGGCCATTGCTCCGCTTGCCTCTTCTGACGGGGCCAGGTTCTGGCTCATGGTCTCCAGTAGGCCCATAGAACTCCATACACACGACTGATGCCAAAGTCTGACATTAGCATATCAGCTTAGTAAGCTCCGGGGAGCCGAAGGGGCTCCCCCCAGAAATCAAGCATTGATTGAAATCAAATGCCCTTTTCTGGTGGGTCTGGAGTAGCTTTGTGAGCTTAACTTAGGCACCACTATACATTCATTGCTGCATTTCTGGGATGGGTCTCTTGATAGCTCCTCAAGCGTACTCTCAATGGCTCGTTGATAAAGGAGGCAAATTTAAACAAATATAGGACAATCGAGTC